GTGAGGCCCTCCTTAAATTTTACACGTAGGTCCTTTGCTTGCCTTGTTTCAGTTTGAGCCCTGGGAAAACACCTAGATCCCTGAGTCGTTGCATGGAGGGAGCTGGTCTGGACTGTCTGGTTCTCTGCAGAAGACATGGTGTGAGGAAAAACAAACCTCTTTTGTATTGTGCCACTGAGATTTGGGGCTATTTTGTCTCTCCAGCTTTGCCTATCCTGTCTTGCTTACTACAAAGCAAGAACAAAAATAAGGGAAACACTATGAATAGAAAGACTAAAACAAGATAGCCAGAGCCAATGTAGTAAATTTGTAGTCTCAATAAACATGACTTGGTTATATTTCCTGATAAATGACAGACACTCAGAAAGAGCTAAAAAAAAAAAAAAATCCAATGTTAGGTACAGCAAAGTTGAAGGTAAAGGGATGGAAAAACATATCTTAGGAAAATGCAAAAAGAAAGGAAAGGAGTGGGAGCAATATCAGTATTAGACAAAATAAAATTCAAGGTAATAAAAGAAAAATGGTCATATCAATAAGCTACATATTATTCATATTGAGCTTATTCTATTTCTGACAATATAACTTCAAATACTGAAAGTAGAAACTGATTGAAAGAGAAATATTTGATGAATTTGCAACCACTGTGGGAGATTTCCATGGCTCTTTCAGAAACAGCAGTATCCAGTGTGACCAGTTTTTGAGATAAGTGTTCTTGGCAGGGCTCATGGGACACATTCATGATCACAGTTTCCCTTTGTCTCTTTGAACCTGTCCCATAGCTCTGGTTCTTTCTCTGCCTCTGGTCCCTTTACTTCGCTGATCCGTCTTAGGTAAAACAAAGTCTTCTGGTCATTTCCAGATGCGAACATGTTTTCAGGAATTGTGTAGACAGATTAACATGACTTTGATATAAAAATGGGACAAAGGTAATGTAAGAGAATTGGGATCCAAATTAAGTATTAAGAATTAGAACCCAGCCATTTAAAAAAGAAGGGATATGGCAAAAAGGAATAGATGAAAATGTTCTCAATTGATTAAAAATAACTTTCAGAAATAATGGGAAACCTCATACTTGGTGCTGAGAAACATTTTAAATGTTCTCAGTATGGTAGAGAACAGACCATATATTTGCTTAAGGAGATATTAGCCAAGATAATGAGACTAAAATTATGCAAATATTAGAGAGGAAGGGACAAAACTATGCCTTGTAGAAAATATCATTGTCTTTGGTGAAAGGCCAAGCATTGATGAAGAAACTATTACAATGAATAAAAGAATTCACTTGGCTTGGTGGCTGGGCAGAGTTCCTAATCACAAAGAGAAACCTCAGTTCCAGCCCTACCTTTTCTATCCACTGGTTCCACTGGCTCAACACAAGACGTCCACAGCTTTGCCAAGTATTGGGCAACTGAGAACTGAACTTCATTATACTATAGCAAAGACAAATTCATGTCTTTTACATCCAGATGGCCATGAAAAAGTGCTCCACAACACTTGGCATCAGGAAACTACAAATCAAAACCACAGTTTTGACACCAGTCAGAAAGGCACTTCTAGTGAGTTTTTTCATTTGATTCTCAGAACAATTTAATGAAGTATGTCTATTGGTGCCCTCTTTTTGCTAATGAGGAAAGTCTGGTTTGGGTAACTTGTGCTCACAGGTTTAAGTGGTGGAAACAGGAATTGAACCTAGGTATTTCATTCTAGAGTTTCTTCTGCTTTCCATAATAACTTAATCCATGGAAACAACAAATAAATGTAAAGTATCTGCAGGAACACCTAAATGTCCTCCCAGATCCCTACTCTTTTTTCCACAGTGGAGCATCATAGCTGGAGGAGGCTGGGCAGCTGGGGCATTTCCCAAACTCCCTTCCACCTACGTGGGGCCATGTGACCAAACTGGCCAATGGTATCAAGCAGAAATGATGTGTGTCACTTCTTGGTCAAGGTGGTTAAAGGAGGGGATATATCTTCTCTATCCTCTCTTAATCTTTGCACTGGCTAGAACTGAACACCTGAAACAGTCTTAGAAACGTAGTGTTGAAGATGGCAAAGACTTTCTCAGCCATGGGGCCTGAACAACTATGTGAAATAGAGTTTACTACATAAGACAACCAGCAAATTCATTGTGTGAAACCACTGAAATTTTGGATTTCTTTGTGATGTAAGCTAATGTTATGCTAACTAATGCAAACTAACAAGAAATGTCTAAGATGTATATGAAGAAACTTCTGAAAGTTCTTAGAAGCACACATAAGTTTGGGAGATGTGGATACCAAATTTATGGATGAGACAACTGATTACTGTAAAGATCGTAAGATCATAAAATATTATTTTTCCCACCTATCTCTAATTTCTATATACTACTCGACTAGACAATTTTATCATTTGTTTGGAAAGTTAAAATAAGAAAATAAAACAAACACATTTTAAAGAGAATAATAATAACTGATAGGAGTGTTCTGTTCCACATATCAAATATCAAAGCCTATTATAAGACTGTGATTAAATCACAAGTGGCCCTGGAACAGAAATTGGCCAGTAAGTCAGTGAAACAGACCAGGTAGATCATAAACAGATCCATGTACATGTAAGAACTTGGCAGATGACCAAGTTAACATTTAAAACCAAGAAGGGATGGAAAAATAGAAAAATGTGTAAAAAATTGCCACCCATCTTGAAAAAAATAATGCTGGGTGATTTCACTCTCGCGTTAGTCTCAAAAAAACAAAAAACAAAACAAAACAAGAAAGATAAAAACACCATAAAGGGTTGTAGGAAAATATATCTTTGGAGTTAGGGACGTTCAGAAAGGAAATTTTTCAGAAGCCTTCGCAAATATCCACAAACTCAATAACATGAAAATTAATATATAATGTATGACCAAGGTGCCATAAAGAAAGGAGAAAATACTTGCTAAATATATAGTAGGCAAATAATGAATGCCCAGAATATATTAAAAAACCACAAGACCCCTACAAATTTATAAGGAAAGGACAACCCAGTAGAAGAAGGGGCAAAGTGTATACATGTAACTCACAGAAACCTACAAAAAAGTGCTCAGTCCCACTGACAATTGGAAAAATACAAATTAAAACAATATAGGGATATAATTCCTTAACCACTAGGTTGGGAAAAGTTGAAAAGGTTGCTAATAAAAAATACTGGCCAGAGTGTGAAGAAATTGCTATGGTGGTATTTTTGGTGGTAGGCTTTATTTAAAGGGAGTTATTTTGGCAACACTGTGAAATTTAAAAAGCAGACACTCTTTGATACAATAATTCCACTTCTTCTTCCCTATCTACTCTAGGAATTAATTCACTTGTATACATAAATAGCTCTATAGGAGGGAGTTTATAGTAGCAATATTGGTAAAAGGAAAACTTGAAATAAACTCAAGAGCTCACCCAAAAGTGAACTACGGGACACTAGGAAGCAATAAAAAAAGGATCAAGTGGCTCAATTTGGACTGATACAGAGATAGACGTGATATTTAGAAATAAGACACTATTAAGGCAAAAATACAGTATTTACGATGCCATTTAGGAAGGGTGAAAGGAAAAAATCCCTGACAAAACGAAGCTGTCTTTCTGTATCTACTGTATGCCCGTAGATGCAGGGGAAAAGGTAAGAGGGTCAACACCAAACTGAAGACGGCAGGAGCCTGGGGCCGTAAGGAAGTAGGACCCAGGGGCCGCAGGGTCATATTTTACAAGGGGCTTCTACTTGAGTATGTCACAGTATCATTTACTAAGTTAAAATAGAAAAAGATGTAAATGTTGTTGCTTCAACCCTGAACGTTTTTATTTGGTTGGTTTGGGTGGGAATTTGTGTTTTCTCTGACATCCCCCTGGGTGATTTGGAAACCCTTGGCTTGAAGATTGAGCCATTGGCTACTGGAGATTGCATATGGTCTTTAATTCAGCTTTTTATGTGTTTTCTGTCATATATAATTATGTATTGAAATAAGAACATGGTGCTCGCTTCTGCAGCACGTACGTCTGGGACGACACGGAGATTAGCAGGGCTCTCTGCACAAGGATGACATGCAGATTCATGAAACATTCCATATATTTGTTAAGATGGCAGATTTTATGTTATATGCATTTTATAACAATTTTTAAAAAATGGAAGTATAAATCACTTAATTAAAACCACAGAAAAAGGTTTTGCTTAACGGGTCCCTTGGTCACTCAATCGAACGTCATCAGTCTCTGGTGAAACAAGGGCTGGTTTTTCCCTTTGTCTTCAGGGAAAACTCTAGCTTTTCTCACCATGGCAGTTTCAGGTGTGAGGAGTCTCGGCCTGGCTGTGACAGGCACAGCGAGGTTGCCTGTCGCCTGTGTCATGTTGACACGCAGCTCTCGGCACGCTGCCACTCCCTGCCACCAAGCCCCCTGTGTTGAGGCACTACCCACTCTGAACGAGAGCTCTTTCCTGATCTCGGGGAAGCCTCGGTTTACCCTCTGGTTCCTTATTCTACTTTTTTGTCCTGCTGGACACCAGACAACAGAGAGGGCTCAGGCCCATGACCATGCCCAAGGGAAGTGAACCATGAGAAGAAGGTCCTTGTGAGTAGGAAGGAGCTCAAAACTTCCTGCAGAAATACTGCTTTGCAACAGGGGGAGCTGCCCTAGAGTTGTTATCTAAACTGTGGTATAACATCTTCCACGTGTTGAATTCCAGCACACATTTGACCCCAGACGTTTCTGAGGAGAGGGCTTTCAGATTGCGGGTCTGTAGACAAAAGCCAGTTAGACTAGTTCTTGGCACCTAATGAACACAAAAATTAAATTACTATTGTCATGTCACCTATAGGTTGGCCCAGTGTGGTGGTTTCGCTCATAAGCCAGAAAACCTTTGTCACATTTAGACCCAGGAGAAGCAAGCACACCATGCTGTGACCATGGGAGAGCGATGCTCCAACTCACCTTTAAAACAAGCCTTCCCGATCTGCTTATCATCTTTCTCCTTTCTGGTTTTCCCACCCTTGCTCCCAGCTAGCAAGACGAGGACTCAACGTTGTGCTCATCAGCCGGACACTTAAGAAACTACAGGCCGCTGCCGCAGAGATTGGTGAGTGACCCCCAGGAATCAGGGAGACGTTTGTGGAGCCCACCAACCAAGTCTGCTTTGTCCTGCCTGGAGGGGCTCCATCAGCATTCCTAAGGCTGGCTGTTCTGGGGGCCTGGGGCATCGGCCCCTCTGTGGGGAGCTCATTAGACAAAGTTAAGTGCAGGACATAAGACACTATAGTGCAGCAGGGATTCCTTGGGCTAGGAGAAGGAGGAACAGACTCATGAACACATAGGTCCACTACCTCCTTTGGCCTGTTGCCTTCGTCTCCAGAGTTAGTTTGCTGACCCAGAGGTCCCAGCCGCTTTGTTGCTTCTGCTCCTCCCTTCAAAAGCAGGATCTGTTTGGGCTTCATTTCCCTATGCCAGTGCCCTGTTCCTTGCAGGAAAGTGAGGGATGAGGCTGACTGGTGGTTGTCAGAGTTTTTAAAACAGATTTGATCCACGTGCAGCTGTGCAGGTTGTACATGGTACAACTCTATGAGGCAGCATTTTTATTGCAATGTTTTATTATTATGACTCACTGTGAAGTGTTCTTAGTTAATAATAATCGTATCCCTCTTTGGGTAATTTATCTTAATAATTAATAATTAATTTAGTAATTTGGAATCTCCTTAATGCAAAAGAAGGAGTCTTCAGTTATGAAGACTTGTAAGGACTTAGACAGACTGTCAGGGAATGGCATTGTGTCCTTGGGGGAGATTTGGGACAGGAGATGGATGTGGGAGGTGTGGGGCTGGAGGCCCAGTGTCCTTCAAGTAATGAATCCTGCTTTTGTTCCATGTCCGGATATCAAAAGTACTCTGATAGGGACTAAGACATTCTTCAGTGTTTCCCCCATAATGATGCTAAGATGGGGTTTTTTGTCCTTTTGAAAACCAAGAAGTGTCTTTGGACTGAAAGCACCTCCCACTCCCCAAACTAAGCCTCAAGATCACTTCTCCTAGAAATAATCAGTTTAACCCCAAAGCTGAGCAAGCAGAAGTTGGTGAAGACCTGTTGCTTTTATACCCATGGCAAGCTTCTGCACAAGGCCAAGTCTACATGGAACAACAGACAGCATGGACGTGGAGGGAACAGGGTGTGGGTGTCTCTGGGCAAGCTAGCCTCTCTGAGCCTTAGTTTCTTCCTCTTGAAAATGGGCATAATATCTACTTTACAAGGTTGTAGAGAAGACTGAAAAAGGTACTGTGTATGTAAATGCTTTGTAAATGCTAAAGTGTTAGACAAACACAAAGGATTGCTCTGTCTAAGCCACGGGAACCCGACACTGAACAGAGGAAACATCACACTATAGACTTATAGCCGCTAGCCTGGGGGTCTCCTGCTTGAGCACGGAGCAGGGTCACTGGGAGGGCATGTAACAACAGATCCCTGGGCCCTAGTCTCAGGGTTTCTGGTTCAGTAGGTCTGGGGTGGAGCCTGAGGATTCATGTTCCTAGTTCAAGTTCAAGTTCACAATGATGCTGTTGCTGGGGCCTATGGACCCCACTTTGAGAATCACTGCATTACATTTATTTTGGTGCATGCACTTGTCACCGTAGTAACTCTTAGAAACACCAGACACCACCACTCACAAATCTTTTAGCCCATGAAGGGAGCATTGGAGAAGTCCTTAAGCAAGGGGCGGATTTGGATTCCTGTTCATTCAAGAGTAACTGTTATCTCCAACGCAGAGTGCACTACAGGGAGCAGTGTGAAGATAATACAAGCAGATTTTACCAAAGACAACATCTACGAGTATATTAGAGAAAAACTTAAAGGCTTGGAAATTGGAATTTTAGGTAAGTAAATTGCAGAATGCAAAGCTGATTGTGAGATATCAGTGAAGTGATGATCTCAGTGACACTTGGTTTTTCTGTGGTAAACTTGAACTTAACCCAGGACTGTCTTTTAAGCTATAGCATTCAACAGACTATTACAGCTCAATTTTTCAGGAGCCAAAATTTATTTATGGCTCTGGAATGCATGAAATGAACATATTTTAACCTTCCCAACCATATTTATAATGTGAAAATGGATTTTTTCCCCCACTGACATGGACATTAGATAGGAGGAGTCTCAGAAACACCTTCCTAAAGAATTAGTTTAGCAAATAGACGTTGCTGTGATTGATTGATGAAATACTGAGTCAGCATGGTTCTTTGAGAATTGACTCTGGTATTCTGGAAACAAGATAATAATAATGATAATATTTAACTTTTTTTCTGTGATAAGATATTTTATAACATATAGAGCACAGTGTAAGTCTTGTACTTGGAAGGAAGGTTTGATTTCTAAATTTCCTGTTGAATTTTAAAAACAATTATATTTTTTACCATTAAAAGTGTAAACCACATTATTGCAGAAAAACCAAAAAGAATACATGAGCACATAAAGGAGTTATAAATTTCTTTTATTTTTTATTTATTTGTCAGAGAGAGAGAGAGAGAGAATACAAGCAGGGGGAGTGGCAGGCAGAGGAAAAAGCAGTGTTGAGCAAGGAGCCCGATGCGGGACTGGATCCCAGGACTCTGGGATCCTGACCTGAGCTGAAGGCAGTCACTTAACTGACTGAGTCACCCAGGTGCCCCAAGATTTATAAATCTCTTAAAATCCCAATAGCCTGTGATAACGTTTTGATATATATCCTTCCAGACACATATACACAAATGTTCCACACGGGAATGAAATTTACATACTGTTTTGTAACTTTTTTTTAAAAAAACATACACCACAAAGGTTTCCCCCACGTCTTTAAACTTCTAGGCAGTCGCAGGGTTGAGTAAGCGTGTGGCATTCCACCAGATGGCTGCCCGGCAACCTTCCTGATACGCTCCCTATTATAGGACAATTGTTTTCCCCTCCCATTTCCTCACTGTTAGGAAATCATGTTGCAAAGAAGGGCCTTGTCTATACATTTTTTTCTGTATGTGTTTTCTTAGGAAAACTTCCCGAGAAAAGGAACTTTGGGGGTTGAATATGAACATGTTTAATGCTTTTAAGAAACTTTTGCTACCGGCTCTTCTGACATCTTTTTATTTTGCTCTATCAGTCAACAATGTCGGAATGCTTCCAAACCTTCTCCCGAGCCACTTCCTCGATACACCAGATGAGATCCAGGTGGGCCTGGGCTCTTCCTGTGGATGATGTCCTCTCAGTGTGGACTGGGCCCCCGGGCTGCGTCATCGCTAGGGCCTGGGAAGGAGAGCCTGGGAAGGTGTCCCTGGAAGACAGTCAGGCTGAAATTCTGTATCCCACATGGACGTCTGTGGTTTCTCTGTTTACATTAGTGCTTGATACGCAGGCGAAGGCACCATCTTTCATGACCATCTCTGGAATATAGACATCTTCCTTCTTCTCTGCATATCAGAACTTACCTGCCCACTGTCCCATCTTTTGGGGGTTCTGTGTTCTGTTTTAATCTTTTGGGGCTTGGTGTCAGCTCACAAATTTACATCTGTGGTTGTAAGTGGGAGAAGGCCACTTCTTTGGCTTTCTTGTCTTCCCAAGTCATAAGATTTCTTTCGGCTCCCAGCGTGGGGAAGGTCTGTGATACAAACTGCGTGTGGGGATGTTGCAAGTGTGGCAAACTTGATGGACCCATGGCTGTCACTGTGGGGTGTGAGTGCACTTAGTGTGCATTTAACAGTCCTTGAAAGCACTATTGACAGACTCTTCTCCAGGCCCTGACTTTTGAAATCATGGAGTTATTATACCCATTCTAAACAGGCTGCCATGCTGTTCCCCTGGTCCTATTTAAGCCCCAAGTCTCCTGCGTGGACCAATAACACCACCCTGCTTGGCATATCCTTGCAAAATTCCCCTCTTCCCCCCATGTCTAACCCCTTCTAACTCCCTGTTACTGGTACAAGTCTGTGTCTCTCCATTAAAAAGCCTCCATGCTTGCTTTTCTTTCCCTTTTTATGTCTACATTAGTGCTGGCTTCTATCTGTCTCTCTTCTCCTTTCCGTCTGTCCTGGGTGATTCCAGTAGTTTCTCTCTCTGGCATCTTGCAGGCCAGAACCTCTACTTTATATGACTGTTCACCTTTCTATTCTGTGTTATTGTCTTTTGGGCCCACATAGGCTAACCTTGCTTCCTCCATGTTTTCCTTTGAAATACCATGTTTTGAAGGAAAATCCCCCAATTTTGAAGGAATTAATTTGCTTCTATTCAAGATCACATTCTTCTAGAATCCCAGGGGCTATCAGATGTTTACCCGTCCTGGGGGCACTGCGCAAACACACACTTGGGCCCACTTTGTCCCCTGCTTCCGAGATCAGACGAGATCGGGTACATTCAGGATGGTATGGCTATAGACCACTTTGTCCACTTCTTAAGCACTGACTGCTTCTCAAGAGAATTTCTCCAATCCTCTGGCTAATTCGTGTTTGTGATTATTTATTACAGAATGTCATCCATTGTAACATCACCTCAGTAGTGAAGGTAAGTAGCCAATATACGTGCAAAATGCCTTAAGATTGTAGTAGCTGTTGAAATCTGGCAACTTGGTAGAATTTTTTTCTTCCCTGCAGATGACTTTGACAGTGAACTGCACTTGATTGAGAAGGCAGTAGTGGTCTTTTAATTACCTTACTCTGTTTTCATCAAGAAAATACAGTGATAAATTTATTCTCCAGAGTATCTGGATCTTATTTTTGCTTCCAGTTTTGTCACATGTCGCAACATACCAGGCTTGATGACACTGAAAGTTATTCAGGATAACAAGTCAACTTGAAAAAAAACAAATACATTCCTCTGGTTTCAGTCTTTGTTAGTAATGGAAAGCTCACTCGGTTTGGAAAAATGACAGAAGGCCTGGTTTGGATTTTCTGGACTTTTGATGTTCAATAAATATTTGTTGAAGGGAAACTCAAGTTTGTGTGTATTCTGATCTCATCTCCACCACTAGTTAGTTGGGCAGTGTTGCTGCGTAACTCCCTTGAGTTTCAGGTTCTTCATCTGCTATTGAAAGAGTGTTGAATTTTTTTTAAAAAAAGATTTTATTTATTTATTTGACAGAGAGACAGTGAGAAAGGGAACATAAGCAGGGGGAGAGGGAGGGGGAGAAACAGGCTTCTTGCTGAGGATGGAGCCCAATGCGGGGCTCCATCCATAGGACCCTGGGATCAGGACCTGAGCCAAAGGCAGACGTTTAACGACTGAGCTACCCAGGCATCTCGAAAGAGTGTTGGATTAAGGGATGTGTCAGGTGCCATTCAGAACTCAGGTTCTTTGATTCGAGTCAAGTGTATCAACATTTATAGGCATGATTATTACAAAAGGGTTCTATATTGTGCCTTTGAATGAATAAGACAAAGGCACCCCCTCTGGGCAGACAATTTGGAAAAAGGTGCTGCTTGGGATAAATGAGGCTTTTGGGTGAACACAATGTTTCCCTTTCCTTTGAATAGGGAGAGACATTCCAACTGCCTGTGAGTGAACCCTGAGCTTTCAGCTTACAGTGACTCCCACAACTGGACACCTTGTTCAGTATACAAAATTCACAACTGTGCATGGCTGTCCTTGTGACCACTCTGATTCACAGTAGTGAATCAGGTATGATCCCTGGTTTGGTGGTGCTGGGACCCCAGTTAGGGAGCAGTAGGTCTCATTTTTGTAGCTTGGCCTGGCAGAAGAGGGCTGGTTTCCCAAAGGAAAACAGGATGCTATCAAAACAAGGAGGGAGATGGGTGCTGAACAAACCACGTAAAATTATTTTTAGGTGGGTAAGTTGAGTTGATCGTTGGTCATTCTTCTGTAAAGATATTGGTATTGTATAGTTTCCTGCTCAGCTTTTATTGGTGCATACATTCTTTTTATGTTGAGCAATTGATAGTTTTTTAAAACCCCAGCTGATGTAATTATAAGTTTTATACATCCAACTGTTGTCTGCTGCCTTACCACTGAAAATTTTCCTGTTATTTTACACATTGATCTTTCAGGCTTGATCCATTTGGTCACAGGGTTTCCCAAATGTATTTGACAACCCTCTGACCCTTTAGCAGAGAATTGCTTTGACTTGTTAAAAATTTTTTTACATATATATTGGTAGGCACAAATTTCCTTAAATAGTGAAGAAAACTAATTGAAGATTAGCTTTCTAAGTACATCATGCCTCAGCTGGCCATGCTGGTTGGAACCATGACTAGTATCTCTTAGTTACCCCAAAGGAGCCATCTGGAAATAGTAGAGTTCTCTGTCGAGGGCCGAGATGCAGGAATGAGTTTGTGGGCAAAGGGAAGTTTGGGTAAGAGAATAAATTTTGGAAGCTTTGAGACAGAGAGAGACACACAAAGTCCAATGTTATCTCTCTGTTGGGATCATTTGTCAGATAAGACTAGGGAATTCAGTTGGGAGGTTTTGAGGAAATGCTGGTGCTGTCCAACCACGCTCCCATAGTGCCCTTCATGAGGTGGGCGGAACCAAGGGAAGGTAATGGCAGGATCTACTCCTTATGCTTCTCCCCCTCCCTCTAAACCCAGTATTTCAGGAGGTAGACTCTTGCCAGTCTATTCCCCACTGCTGCTCCAAGGCAGTGGAAACATTATCTGGAGGTCCCCAGGTTTGGGCTTAAGGGCCTGGCCCATGATATAGGGGCAATGGCAGGGACAGAGCCCACTTTAGGGCACTCCTGCAGGACCCCCAGACAACACAGAAAAAGAGGTGAAATTTATCTTCTGGTCCTTAGCTTCCTTTATTTTTCTGCCCTCCCCATGTGTTTGGATCCTTTCTCCTCAAACCTGCTCCTGAGACAAGGCCTGATGCCGCTCACTTGTCCTTTTGAGAACATTTTGCTCTGTGCATTTGCCTCTTCCTTAATTCTTCAAAGGGGTGCTTTGTAATTATGAATGAAATGCTCTCTTAATGGGCTATTTAAGTTCCAGAATTGGTCGGGAAGATGTCTTCTGGGGCCAGCAAATTGGGACAGGGAAAGCACTTCTCCACACTGCTGTCATTCCAACAGATAGACAGACATGGTCTGTCTATGGAGCTATTTCACAGACCACCTGCAAGCTGCTTATGTGGCTGCGGTTGGATTGAAATGTCTAGCCCGTGCCTTGTATGTGTATTGTTTGTGGACACTGGGTAGACTTCCTGATGTCCCCCGACTTGAAACTCATGGGTGAGGTTTATGATGGCCAACCCGCTTATGCCTGTCTCCCAGAATGAAGAGTATCTGGGGAACCTCAGCGGTGATCTCATGGCCAGAAGCCAATTTCCATAATTTTTCACTGCCCACATTTTCCAGGAAGATGTTCACTTTATGGGGGGAAGAAACCAGAGACCTCTAATAGTTTGCTGTTTGTCTAGATCACATTTAGTTTTAGTCAGACTCTAGTGTTGTCAGAATTACCTCCGACAAGTGTCAGCAGAATTTCAAGGCCACCTGAGAGATTAAGCTCATTTTCTGGCTTCCTCCAGGACCTGCTTCCCTAAGCCCCACTGGACACTGAGCTCCTTTGTCAGAGGGCTTAACTCTACCCCTTCTCTTATAGATGACACAGCTAATTCTGAAACACATGGAATCAAGGTAAGGTCTTCTTTTGAAAAAGCACAGAACAGCACAGCCTCCCTGGCCTGGCGGTTAGCTGACTTGGGGACTTGGGATGGGGTAAAGGGGGTGGGTGGATAGGTTTCATCTGTCTGCGGCTTTAACCAGTGGTAAAACTCCATGAAGGACATGGAGATTGCAGGAGAAATTGTAACTTTCTGGACCAGATACACAACAGATACGTGTATTTGAAGGTCAAGTGTAGCATCTACTGGAGAAAGAGAAGAGCCATTTCAGCACACATTTTATTAAAAACATTAACTCATGTTGAGCATAAAAGAAACTTCAGAGGTTGGCCTGAGATCAAGGCCATCTCTTGTTATTACTCAAATTTAGTAGTAAAAATCACCACCTATCAGTGTCTCTATTTAGACCATGGTTTTATTATCCTATTACAACACCCCTTAGGGAACTGAATTTTCTCACGTGGTATTCATTAAATGCGAATGGTTGATAGTTTTATCTTCCCTAGAGGAAGAAGGGGCTTAGCCTTATGGTCTAATTTGCAGTTGCTTGGTTTTTCCAGATTGAACTCTTCTATTTGGGAAGGATTAAAGTTACCAAATTTCAGAAGGATTAAGTAAGGACCCTGGAGACTCGTATGAGGGTTCCTGTGTGAGCAGAGGATGGACTATCAAATTCTGCCCAAGACAGGATTCTGCATTTGACATCTGTCCCGGTGTGGGTCATCTTTAGAAGTTAAAAGGGACCTTGAGTTCATGTGGTCACATTTGATAAAGAAGGGTTCCTTGCCCCTTGAGTCACGTCTGATCTGAATTGGTCCTTGGCATTTTGGAGGGGACCTCTGTTGAAGCAGAACCCCTGTTTCCAGTCACCAGCCCTTGATGTCAACTGACTGCTGAGTCATTGCTTGGTGTCGTGATCCAGGCCGTGGGGAAGTGCCACTCACAGTTCTGGGGAGCAGAACTTGTCTTGCACGTGGAAGCCTAGAGAGGATAGACTTTTCCAGTGAAATCACAGGAGCCCCTTTGCTTTCTCTTTCTCTTGTGGTATGTGCCATCAGGCAAAAGATCATTCAGAACTTTACTTCTTTGTGTTTTAGGCAGAAAGGCCTTATCTTGAACATTTCTTCCGGGGTGGCCCTCTTTCCCTGGCCTCTCTACTCCATGTATTCAGCTTCCAAGGTGAGTGACAACACGTGGCCCAAGCTTCCGTCTTCTTTCTGTTGTTTCTCCCACTTGGCATTTTCCTCTGATCATCTGGCAAGCTGATGGACAGATTGTCCAGGGCCCGTCACCAGATGTTTGGGTGCAGATTAGAAAAAGGCACAATCCCTGGGCTGATGGAACACTGCAGCAATATAGTGGGACAGGGGCAAGGCCCCATGGGACTCCAGGCCCCACTTGTCTCCTTGTCCCAGAGCCCTGCTCTCTCGCTGCCAGCAAGTAACACTGGAGATTTCTTCTGTCCTAGGGGCCTGGCCAGATGTCTCTATGTCCTAGTCCTAAAAACAAACCCTCAGAGGAGAGGATGTTCCCAGGCCAGGAGACAAGGGAGAGCTCTCCCTGGGTAGGGTCACCTGTATGCCGTAGCCCTTGGTGTGTATTGATCCCAGAATGTATGTTCCTGTTCATCAAGGGAGCTTTGCCCAGGCCAAGAACAAAGTCCTAACTCCCATCAGACAAAGTGCGCATTTTAAGGTCAAGTAAGTAGGCTCCCTGCAGTGCCCTTTGAAAGCTGAGTAAGTTGCCTCCATGACAAAGCAGGCTCTCCCCTTAGGTGTGTTCTCCTTCTTGCTCCAGGCTTTTGTGTGCACATTTTCCAAGGCACTGCAAGCAGAATATAAAAGGAAAGGAGTCATCATCCAGGTGAGGTCCACCGCTCTGGGTCCTTGGCACAGGAACTGTGGTGCCCCAGGGAGCTGGGGTCTCCGCCTCCTGCAGGTCTGGCTGGGCAGACATGGCCAGGAGGGAGTGCCTCACAGAGGCAACTGAGCCACGCTTGTGCTGCCTGCTGCTGTCCTCACCCATGCCCTGGAGAAGGAACTGGGGCAGGGTGTAAACAATTTGCAGACATTTTTTGTTCATGTTTGGGAAGAAGTTTTATGATCTACTATTGGAAATGAAAAAGGCACACTCACAGCTAAATCTTTAAAATGATGGCTGTACATACTGATGGTGTCAGCTCTGCAGGCCGCAGTGTGTAACTGCTTATTTTTCTTAGCACAACAGGAAAGATGATCAGGAATGTGTCACTCCTGGCTCCTCACTGAAGTGAGGAGAATCCAAAGAGCTTTAAATGGCTCCAGCTTTGGCTGTATGTATTAGAAAGAAGCTTCTCGCTTAAAGTTGCCAGATAAAATACAGGACGTCCAGTTCCATTTGAATTTCAGACAATAACTTTTTTTTTTTTTTTTTTAGTATCAGTATATCCCATGCAATACTTGGGATATATTATACTGAAGTTTTTTTCCCTTGATTATCTGGATTTCACTTTTAACTGTCCTGCATTTTTATTGTTAGTCTGGCCACCATGTTCTAAGAGAGAATTCATATCCTCAGTCATCCTGTGTACATTTGAACCAGCTAATGTTCTGCGTTAGTGATAGACCAGAAACCAGTTTTTCTGATTCACAGCTCTGTGCCGGTTCTCTGCCTTTCCAGTGCTCTGTTGTCAGCGGAGATCCTGTGTGACTCCTTGTGGAAGAGCAGAGCTGGAAAACAAAGGGAGAGTTAGACGAGAGGTTCACTTCTCATGGGTAGACGGATGGCTCCTGTGTTATGGCCTTTATTCCCCATTGTAGGTGCTGACCCCATATGCTGTTTCAACCCCAATGACGAAGCATCTACACACCAACATGGTAACCAAGACTGCTGATGAGTTTGTTCAAGAATCACTGAATTATGTCACTATTGGAGACGAAACCTGTGGCTGCCTCACCCACGAACTCTTGGTAACTGAGGGCTTCTTTCTCGAGGCACAGGAGACAGGTGTGCTGGCGGTCCCCGGCAGAGTTCTTCTTTGCTACTGGAGCAGCCAGCCCTGTCCTCTCATGAATTATGTCACGTGAATTATGTCATGTGAATCATGAGAAGGAGCGTGCTGTCAGAGGCCGTTCAGCTAAGCAGTCACATAGTTAGCTAGAAATATGTGGCAATGGGGGAAAGCTGCAGGCCTGAGGGCTCAGCCCAGAGATAATCCCCAGATGGACAGATACCACCCTTGGTTCACCCTCATCTCTTTCCTCAGAAAGGAAGGCGGCTTCCTGAGCTCTCGGGAAGGGCAGACCAAAGACCCAGGGAACTTCCCTGGGTGGGGCTGGGGCTGGGTGCTGCGGGTCTTCTCTGGTTCCCTGTGTTGAGAAATGTTTTAATACCTGGCTCTCCAGGAAAAAAACCCAAACACTTTGATTTGTAGGGTTTGTTGATTTCCATGGTTTAAATACTCCCCTCGTGCCTGATTGGAAGCTCCCATTGTGTTGTCACTGCCCCTGAATTTAGACATGTGCATAGTTGGTTCCTGAGAGCAAGTACAAGCTGGTTCTAGCACAACACAGACTCCTTCGAATCTGGAAGTAAGATTCGGTGGCATAGGCTCGAGGAGTTCTTGGCATCCCTGGCCTGCTTTTAGAAGCAGCCACAGGCATGAAACAAAGGTAGACTTGACTTTTGCACCCTGATACACAAACACAGTCAGGGTGGTTCTGTTTCCAGTGTCACCAAAAATTTCTAGACATCTTTACTTTCCCTTCATATGTCAACTTTCTCCTTGGCCTCATGGGCCTTTCTGTCATGGGAATTAGGTTTCTCCCCTCTCTCTTTCTCTCTCAGGTGCTAGAAGGAATACACAAAATCTTCCCAAGCATTCAGTTACCCCCTGAGACTTCTGGTGACCCTACAAGAGACACTGAGTTGTCTTGGAGGATCACTTGCTATTTTTACTGTAGAACCTCAACAATGTGCAGAATCACCAACTTAACACACACTACAAAGGGGACATGCAGAAAGAACGTAAGATCTTGATTTTGCCTGTTGCTGATCTGGTCTTTCTCCAGGTTACTACTTGCCACATGGCAGGAAAACAAATTAATGGGAAGTCCATTGAGTTTTAATTGAGTTTGATCTAGGAATCTAAACTGGATATTGAGGAAACACGCTTTTTGTCCATTAGTTAAAGCATTGAGCCTTTCTGGGAGCATGCCTTTCTCCTGCCTCTCTCACTAAGATGATATCGGGGGGAAAACTGCTGGTCCTTAAGTGTGGTTGTTGCTCCACATCTACCTGGTGCTCGTGCACCTGTGCTCTGGGACCAATGACCCTTTCTATCCATTTGACTTGGCCAGTGAACTCCCAGGTACTGAGGACTTCAGAGCCCTGAATCTCTGCTACTTCCCCCATGTAGCCACAGGCCCATGGGCCATCTGGATCTTTGGTTCATAAAGGCCCTTTTGCTTTCTCTGCTGTATCAGCATCAACATGGACTTGACTGATGCTGGAAAGTGAAATGTCAGCTCCTCTCTTGCCACACTGAGATAATGTTCTGGGGTTGCACTCTCAAAGAATGGGGGCAATATTCTCCTTTGCCCTCAGTGCTTCCCTAACTTATTTGTCACATGTTCATATTCTTCACCTGAATTCCCTGGGCCCCCCGCCCTCCACCCAGCCTAGGCCCACATATAGAAGGACACACATCCTCTAGGATGTTGATGTCGTAAATGGAACCCATCAGCATTTAAAAAATGTTTTCTTGAGACCATAGCCCATCTTGCAAGGTTATCGTCTTGCTCCACAAAGCAATTCTGGATGTCGAAAGTTGGAAAAAATTTTTGCCTTTTCTCTTTTGATTTCTTATGTGTCAAATTAAATCTCTTGTGGCAAATGGATGCCAAGAACAGACGAGGCAAGAGAGTGTTTGTGCCTACTGAAGCAAAAGAGAAAGCAAAAGAGAACACACAAGTCATTAAAGCCATTAAGGCCAATTTGAAGTTTGCTGGAATTTAGAAAAATCATTGAATCTGAAGTTTGAGCAATCAGATAGAATTGGCTGGTAAACAAGCAAAACTTCTGTTACAAAAAAGGCAAAACAAAGAGAGCATGCTCTTCACTCCTGGGGAGTTTTAGAACAGCAACTGGGCCTAGAATGGAGCCTCTGATGTAGAGTCCTTGTGGTTCTCGGGGTTACTGCTCTTAATCCTCCTAATCATCTTCTAAGACAGGTCATTTGGTTCCTGTTTTACAGTTGAGGAAACTGAAAATCAGAGCTAGATCAGATGCCCAAGGCCACTTGCCTGGTAATGGTGAAGCTAGGGTTTAAGTCCCCCTTTGTCCAATGCCATGCTTTTCCTGGTTTCTTCCACACCATCCTTCTAGGTTGGGAGGAGGTAGATAACAATGGAGACGGAAGAAGGGAACTTCTACAACATTTTCTAGGGCCCTGGAATTTTAATTTATTTTCTTTATGGCTGACTTCACTAGGTCAAAACATTTAGCTTAAGGCTAATGAAAGGGCTTGATTTTGCTGTGATATTAAAAAGCTCTAAAGGGGAGAAAAATTAAGTTCCTAAGGAAAAAGTTGTATTCACTCATGGACTTGGCTAGTGGATGAAGGGTTCTATTTGTTCCCCCAGAAGCCATCTTTGGTCCCTTGCTTTGAAATATCTCATTGAGCATAATAGTCTGAGAATCTGAGCTGTCTGAAGAATGGGAACACTCCCCGGAAAGGTCACATTTCCCTCTGGTTGAAATCCTGTTATTCGGTGGGGAGTGGGTAGGCCAAGGAATGTTGGAGGCACAGGATTACACCATGGACAAACTGATTATTTCCAGGGCCCAGACAGACGTCTTGCAGGACATGGATATGGTTTGAAGGCAAGAAGTTTTCCAATGCCTATGCCTACTGCCTGATGTGTGCATCCAACTAAGCCTTCCTGCCTTGACTTGAGGCTCCCCTCTATGACTCCCCCCAACTCTGCTGTGTTAAGCAAACGTTCAATGTTGGTGATTTATACTTTGCTGTGTCTGGATTTTGTTCATGGACTCATCAACGCATTTGTGTATCTGCCTACTATGACTCAGGCATGGTGCCAGGTGGTAAAAGCATTTCTGATTGTTTTCTGGAATCTCATTTTAGTAGAACCTTGGTAGAAAGAACACAAAGACACTGGGAGACTGAGTGCTAGGACGAGGAAGTGCGCTTGAAAAGAATGAGAAAGGAGGGTAGGGTGTTAATGCGGGACAGAGTTCTCTTAATTTAGATTTCCTCAGGGCTGGTTCTACAAGTGACGGTTTTGGTTTCTGAGAAAACTTGTTTGCTGAGAAAGGGTCGTAAGACCTTGAAATTTTAGCACAGGCCTAAAAGATCTTGCGATTTAAGTTCGGGAGTCAGAAAAATATTTTTAAAAGACGATGAATATACACTGAGATGTTTCCTTCTAATGTGCTTGCTTGTCTTTCACCCCCAATATCCATGTTTTTGTCTATTGAAGCGGAGCTTCCTGAGCCTGGTCCCGTCATGGGTTTTGTACAGCAGTGCATTCCAGAAGAAATACATGGAGTACCTCAAGCACAATTCCAACATCAAATAGTCCAAGTGAGCTGACATGCCAGCACCACACCCCTGAAGCTGGAGAGGCTGTCACAAATACAGTCCCCAAATACAACTGTTTTGTGTTTTTCTTTTTTGTTGTTGTTGGTTTTTTTTGTGTGTGTGTTTCTTTCTTTCTTTCTTTCTTTTTTTTTTTTTTTTTTTTGCCGTTTTACTTGGGCCTAGAGATCTTTGGGAAAGCAGTGGTGTAAACACATGTTTTGTGCAATAGGGTTTTCAGGCTTTGTGTGTGACAAGATGAAGGTGTCTATAGGGGAAACTGGAAGAATGTCTATGTGGGATTATAATACAAATGTGGTGAGAAGAAAGCCTTCGATATCGTGAATATTGAGAACAATTATACATGAGGCTCCTTTTATAGCTATGATAAAGCATGTTAAAAGTTACTAACTTTACCAAGACTGCTATAGTTTGGAGCACTAAGACGGGGCTCCTCGGAGACCCGGGAAGCTCTAGGGGAAGGTGTGGGGGCAACAGCTACATCACGCCAGTTTCTAAGGCCTCCCATTTCAACGAATGCAGGACCAGCTTTCTCTAGTTTATTTCTATTCGAGGTTCTATGTCAGAGTGTGTTCGTGGAAATAAAACAGAAAACTGTACATTGATAACAATGGCTGAAAAGCCATTGCTCCCGTGCAGGAACTGATATCTGCAAAAATAAGATTTTTTTTTTAGGTCTCTATGTTTTGGGGTACTGGGTGGAGGGCTTCCCTTGTCAACACAGAGAGGGTGGTGTGTTGGGGGGACTACCACCCTTCAGCTCTGGAGGGAGTCGGAGAAGGAGCATGTGTTTTGGCTGGCCTTGGTCAGTCTGCCATTGGCTTCCCCCAAGATATCGCCATGCTCTAGGCACTGCAGGTGCTTGGTGGCACTCATCTTTTCTGAGATAATTGGCATTTATGGTGTGAGAGAAGAATTAATGTACTGCTGCCCTAAATATACAAGGAGTCGTGAGATTTGGCTGGAATTTATGGAGCATTTTGATGTTTGGAGGGAAGCACAGGGTAGATAGAACATTTAAAACCTTGGTAAGCTTGGAAAATCATGGGCTGAAATGAAACCTGCTCTGGGGAAAAGACTGGGAAAAATTCATTCTAAGGTATGGGTATCTACTTAAATTATCTCAGTTATGAGTAACAATAATAACTACAGTACAGAATGTTTTTATGGTACCCATTGGTATTGGTTATTTACCCGTTGTCCTCTGTCCTAAGCCCCCGAATTTCATACTCTGATTGTTGATGTTGGGCTGGGAAATTTCCAACGCTTATGCCAGCTGGCTTTGTGTTCGATTCTCCCCATGGCGGTCAAATTTGGGAGCGTAAAAGAAGGCGAGGGCTGAGGGAAACTCCTTCCTGTTTGGATTCTTGTTACCATGCCTCTGCGGAGGGGATGGCATTAGCCAGACTCAGCACCTACATGGAAGCTGGACGTTAGCACTAGTCCCACAGTGCCCCCTTTAGGGAACTGAGCATTAAAACCATACAGAGGCTTCCCCTTGGAACACCCAGTTGCTAGAAACCCCACCTCCTCTGCTGGTTCTACCAGCCCTGCTGTTACTGATAACTGAATTACTAAGTATCCGTCCTCTTTTTGTTCTTTCAGCCTTCTGCTGCGGTGTTACCAATTACTTCTACTAAATCCCTTCTCTGTGAAATACTCAGTGTGCTTGATCCTGACTGAGACTATGCTCAGCTGATTACCTTGCCTGATCTGGGATGCAGGGTAGATGGGTGGACTTTTTTTTTTTTTTTTTTTTGATAATGAAGAATCAGAAACTCTTTATCAATCAGGGTCCCCATAGGAAACAGAAGGCATGATCAAGCAACTGGAGAAATTATTTGCAAATATGTGGGGAAGGTGTAGGGAAGTCATCAGGGACATCAGGAAGTCATCATCACCCCCCAAAGCCTGAGGGGGCTGGGAAGGGATCAATTATAGACCCCATGAGAGAGACAGAGAAAGGGAGGTGGTGGTTGGGGGAAAGAGGGGAAGAAGAAGAGGGGATGCAGAAAGAACAGGATAAGCAATACTGTTTCAGAGGAGCTGTGACCTCTAGCTGACAGATGCTGCCAGACTTTGGCCACCCCGTAGAGCGGGAGAGAGGAATAGGAACTGCGATATTGTGATTTATAATAAGAAATATTAGGTCATCCCCATTCCCATTCCTTGGAATTTCGCACGTGATAAGAGCAATAAGTTAGCCATTTGTTGTTCATAACAAGCCCCTTTCAACCACAGTTGAGTTTATGTCAATGAAGTGACTTTTGGAAAGCCCTTAAGGATGGAAGCTGGTTGCCAGGGGAACTGACCATGCGATTAGAAGGTTGGAACTTGCAGTCTTATTCCTCAACCTTTGGGGAGGGTAGAGAGGCTGGAGGTTGAGTTCAATCACCAATGACCACTAATTTGATCAATTATGCCTATGTAATGAAGGCTCTATAGACTATGGGGTTTGGAGAGCTTCCAGGTTGGTGAATAGGTGCTAAGAGGGCAGCGTGCCTGGAGAGGGCACAGAAGCTCCACGTCTCTTCCCATATACCTTGCCCTATGCATCTCTTACATCTAGCTGTTCTTGAGTTGTATTCTTTTACAATAAACTGGTAATCTAGTGAGCAAACTGTTGCCTTCAGTTCTGTGAGCCATTCCAGCAAATGACTGAACCTGGGCAGGTGTCGTGGGGACTTTCAATTTATAGCCAGTAAAGTGATCAGAAGCTCAGGTGACAACCTGCTGGCACCTAAAGTGGGGGAAGTCTTGTAGGACAGCCTTTAACCTGTGGGATCTGATGCTCTTCTCAGGTAAAGAGTGTCAGAATTGAGTTTAAATTGTAGGACACCCAGCTGGTGTCTGAAAATTGCTTGGTGTGGGGAAATCTCTCCACACATTTGATGACCAGTGTTATTGAAAGTAGAGTGTTGAGAGGAGGAACAGTAGTGTTTTTCCTTTGCAGGACCAGGTACCTCAATTTCATTCTCCTGCTGTCCTCTGGGTCTCTTGCTGGTGCTTCCCATTGGTCACATCTAACTGGAAGCTAGCTCACTGATGTAATTCACAAGGTTTGTCTCCTGAGACACCAGGCCAGAGGGTGGGGGAAGAACAGAGATTGGATTTGGAGGGGAGGGATACAACACAAATCCATATATTAAGTGCTTTTCTCAAAGTCATACCATTAATAGTTGGTACCTCCTGAATGGGGACCCTGGGTTTCTGCCTATATTCAACTCTATGTTTCAAAAGGTGTAATATTTGAAACCCAAAGAACAAGTATCTTATTGTGGAATTCAAGATTTCAGCAAAGTAGAAGCTATCTTACAGACATTAAAGCCCAATCTGCTTAAATGTGAGACAAACAAGGTTGCTAGCTCTTCCAGTTATTGTTGCTGTGTAACAAGATATTCCCCAAATTAGCGGTATAAAAGAACAACCATTTTCTTGTGCTCACAAATTTTGTGGGTCAGAAAGGGTAAAGTGGGGTATTTTGTTTTGCTCCATGATATCTGCTCCATGATATCTCCATGATATCTGGAAATGAGTCAGCCTCTGGAACTGGAAATATCTGAATGATTGCTTAGTTACGTGTCTGGCGACTGATGGCAGTTATTTTCTGGGACCCCAGCTGGGGCTGCTGGATGGAAACCTATTCATGGCCCCTCTATGTTTTGCTTGGTTTTACCCACAGCTTGGTGACTGGGTTTCAAGAATGAGAATCCCAGAGAGAACTAGGAGGAAGCCAAACTGTCTTATAAGACTAGCCTTGAATTTCTCATGACATTATTCTCAAGCCCTTCCAGACTCGGTGGGAGGGAACACAAGGCTCACCTTCTGATGGAAGAAGTACCTAAATATTGCTGTGGCCATATTTAGAAAATACAATGACTCATGCTAATTAATCTTACAATAAGTGTTTGTTCTAGCATGGATCATAGGGAATTAGTAGGCATTTCAACTGTTGAAGGAGCAGCTTATAAAACTGTAGACACTATGTTTCTAAACCTTCACATCCAATCTTCGTAAATTTGCCTTTAGGGAGTCACATTCACAACCAGCAGCTTAGGTGAGCAAAGGAATGTGCTTCAGCGTACACAACCTGGGGCAGATTTGAGATAGAGTTTTTAGTTGTGTAGTATGTGGGTTCATCCAACGTATTAATCCTGGATTGATTTGAATGATTATTTGTCTAGCAAGCTTTTTGAGTGCCTTTATTATATTTTTAAAAAAAGATTTGTTTCTTTATTATTTGGAGGGGAGGGGCGGGGCAGAGAGAGATAATCTCCAGCAGACTTCCCTGCTGAGTGTGGAACCTGATGCTGGCTTGATCTCACAACCCTGAGATCAGGACTGAAATTAAGAGTTAAACACTTAGGGGCGCCTGTGTGACTCGGTGGGTTGGGCCTCTGTCTTCGGTTAGGGTCATGGTCCCGGGTTCCTGGGATCGAGCCCCGCATTGGGCTCTCTGCTCCGCGGGGAGCCTGCTTCCCTCTCTCTCTCTACCTGCCTCTTTGCCTGCTCGTGATCTCTCTCTCTGTTGAATAAATGAATAAAATCTTAAAAAAAAAAAAAAAGGTTAGACACTTAACCAACTGAGCCACCCAGCTGCCCCAAGGGCCTTTAACTTAAGGGAAGAGTTTCTCACAGTAAAGGCCCCAGAGTGTTGAATTGAAGTGAGGGTAGAAAAAAATCTGTATTTTAAGATCTTTATCCCAGTAACCAGTAGCACTAGAAACTAGTTGACATTTGTTGAATACTAGTAATGAGTCAGGGACTATATAAATTTTCATGACAACTTAGAAAGTAGGAACTATTATTAATATTACCTTCAGTTTACAGTTGAGGAAATGAAGGCACAGAAAAGTGGAGTCATGCCCACAGGTTCACTTGATCAGTGAGCGGCAGAGTTGGGTTTTGAACATGGGTCATCTTCCAGGAGATGGTAGAGCCCAGCCGGCCGGGGATGAGATTCTTCAATTGGGCTTAAGATCAAGGAGTGAGCACT